GGTTATGAACGTTTTATAAAAGAGTAGAAGCATACTAGATGTCTCAAAAGAAACACGAAATTCATAGCACCTTCTATAATTAAAATTCGGCATAAAAGTAGGTAAGTACCTAAGTGTTTCGAAATTATCTCTTTTTAGATTTTCTCGTATTATTTTACGGACCTGTGACGTGATTTTGTTTAATTTTTTTAAAAACAGTTCGAGAAAAATTAGAATTAGGTATTATTAATTAGGTACTGGATTTTTATTTAAATTAACTAACTTTTTAAAAATTGTGAATTTATTATCGAAAAATCGCAAAATAGAAATCCGAAAAGTACTTATACTAAGCCTCTTATTAAAAACAAGAATGTAAAAAAATATTGACTCTACTTGATGTGAGAGACACCTAAAAAATGTTGTATGCACCTTGGCCGTATGATAATTTTTTTCCTAACCAGACGTTGCAAATTTATGATTAGGCCAAAAAAGATCAACTTTACAGCCTTACTACACAAATAACTATTTTGGACGGTTAAAATGAATGTACTTATTTCTGTTGCGTACTTATTTCTGTTGCCAACCAATACACAGTGAGGACAAAGGGATACATTCATTTTCTGTCTCATAAATAATTAATTTTTAAAGAAAATCCTGTAAAGTAAATTTTTATTTTTGAATGCGACAGTATTTCAATTTAATTAATTGAATAGGTACCTACTTCTTCAAACCCCTTGAACTGACAACTACCGCCTTTTCATTTTTAAATGAAATGAGTGATCATGTCATACCTCATTTTAAAGGGGTTAATACTCGTTCCAGTAATAAAAGTTTTTAAAAATTTTGACATTTTTCTTTACGAAGAAGCATAACTGTAACTCCGGCAAATCTCCCAAAAAAAAGCTGAACATGTTTTATAATAATCTGAAAAATTATTTCATTTTAATATTTTTTTTTAAAATCAATTACACCATGTAAGATTGCTTGTTAAAAATTAGAAAAATACAAACAAAAATCCTTATGTGACTGAATAAAGAATTAAAAACTTTTTAAAATGAGGTATCAAATCCCTCATTTTATTTAAAAATTTGAATTGGTTGCTGCCACTCCAAAGCGGTGAAGCAAGAGGTACATAATTATGTTAAAATATTGTCATTTTAGAAATCAAAATTGACCTGTTTCGGCAATTTAAAGAAATAGTTAACTGGAAATTTATAATTTACTTACTCTATTAAATTTACAATGTTTTGTTTATTGGCTGTTTTTAACAGCAACGATTTTTTTATCAGTGTCGATTTTTTGGATCGACTACCTGTTTTGGAAGGAAACCGTCTGGTTTTCTTGCCTAAAAATTTCGTATACAAATCAGATACCTAGCACAAATTTTTAAAAGTATATATTGAAGAAAATACAAGCAATAAGTAACCTTTTAAGTAATTTTTTAGAAAAAAGTACCTATAACTTACCTTTTTTAGACATGGCTATTGTCTTTAACAAAAAATGTTCAATAATTAAAAAAAAAATTAAATCAATTCAAAATACACTAATACAACACACAATGTTACAGCTTCAGAAGCAAAGAGGAAAATAAGCTTCAGTACTTTTAGGCTTGTATAAATACCAAATGATAATCCATTACGGCATACCGACAAAGGGCGGTATACCTACTTTGATATTAGCGAAATAAAAAACTTGCTTGCGACACGTGCCGGTGTAGGATGTATACCGGGTGTCCTATAGGATTCTGGCCAGCTATTGTCTAAATGATTTAATAGCATCAAATCAACCTTTGCTAAACCACCCCCTAGAAACCATCCCTAGCCGAGCGGCTAGTGTGAGAATAGTGTACATCCGCGTTCTCGCAACAGTTAAGCCGTGATATCTCCAGTCACGTCGTGGATGGTTGTCGGCTGGGACGATTACCATGGGCCATGCCACCATGTGATGTAGTCAACAAGCGTTTAACCTTCGACGATGTGAAATTAATAACGGTGAATGAGTGAGTAATTGAGAAAGTAGTAGGACGTTCAAATGGTGATACAATAAACTGCAAGCTGCAGTGCCACCACGCTACAAATAGATTAGTGTCCAAAGGGTGTAAAATAAAATAAAACCATTCCAAGCATTAATTTTTTAATTGCAAGCTCATGTTTTTTTGTTAATATACTCCAATTTATCACCCTCAGTTCAGTCATATATCATACTGCTTTTTTTAAGGCTGTATTTGCATGGTCAAAATGGTAAAAAAAGGCTGACTTAACATGGAAAATATTTTACTATATAATACAAACTTAATTTCTTATTTTTGTAGGCGGTAGTTTAAATCAACCGCTTGTCAAACCACGCACCCCTTAGAAACAGGTTAAATGAGTCTGTTATTTACAATTTTGACCAATACATCGTATAATATCGTTGACATGAAGCGAAAAATCTATCATATTAAAAAAAGTGTGCGGGCGTGGTTTGAAACATAAATGATAATGGTGGTTTCTAGCGGGTAGTTTTACAAGAGGTTGATTTGGGTTCATCAGGTAAAACACTTTTATCCCTTTTTATAGTTATCCAGAAATATATGGGACACCTGGTATATACATTAATATATTTTAGTATACAATGGTTTAAATTTAGTTTTCTGTGTGATTTGCGTTGTTCCTTTAGCGGTTTGCTTCATGACATGCCGAAAACGAAAAACATTTTTTTTGTTGAAGAAAATTGTATCCTCGGTTTCAAAGCGGTAACGCCATATAGTTATACCGCCGACAACAAAAAAACTTTAAAGCGGCTGCCAAAATGGGTTTGAACTATCCAGCAATCGCCGCCAAGTGTGGCTCGAATTTAGTTAGTCATAAGAATTTTGTTAAAAAGAGATAAATAGATAAAATGATCTAGGCACATAAGTTGTATAAAACAATAAGTCAACTATAAAGGAATACCGCAAATGCAAAAAAAGGTCGGCCTCTGCTTGAAGTACTCGAAAAAAAATTGGTGTACAAATCGAATTGTTAGCGGGAAGTCAACTAGCTAAAAACATCAACAAATCGACTCCTTTGATTTACCGCCCATGGACGGATATATTTTTTTACTTAAAATGTTATTCGTATATTATTCATCATTGAGTTAAAAAAATACTTGATTTCAATTCTTTTTTCCGCATTGAATAATTATTTTTTTATTTCACTTATTAATTAATATAATTAATCTTAGAAATTGATATGTTTGTTGATTATATTTTTTTGCAATGAGCCTATCCGACATTTATTCTTAGTAAGTATTTAATATAAATTTTCTTTTAATTTGTCTTACAAAGTAACATTTTTTGTAATCTAAAGTGTCCAAATAATCCATACCTACTTTAAGTAACTAGTTACATATATTAAACGGGTTGTCATAATTATGTTCATTATTGAAAAAGAAAATAAATTTTAAAAAACATGTTTGGTATTTAAATTAATATATGTATAAGTACCTCTATTGCTTTTGAAAGTATACTCAGGAAGAACGAATATTGGTTATATAACAATACATTTGGACAATGTGCTAAGGTACAATTAGTAATAATTCTGGTTCATTCGCTATTTTAAAAAGTCATCCTAAACCTGAACAAAATAATCGAAACACTGTTTCACCCAATACACGAGAAAAAAATTAAAATATTCCTAACTATGCAAAATAACTAAATTTCTTGACAAGAAAAAAGAAAACTGTTTGTGATGATAAATATTTAAATATTTTAAAAGTATTAGATTGGTGTGAAGTTGACTAATATTTCCAAATATTAATTTTCTAATATCTTTGATTGGAAGTACAAAAAATGATCGGTTAGTCATTTTTTTCCAAACAATTCTATAAATAGAAAAAAATTAAAAAAATAACCAATATTTAAATAATAAATACATCACGATGCCACTGGCTCTTCCTAATTTCTTCTGCTTCTACATGTTGTAAGCGACCAGCTCGTCTATACCGGTTAATCTTAGCAAAGTAGAGAAAGATAATAGAGAGTTTTAGCAAATGTACGTAAGATTTCCGCTAACGTTACGTTAAACTTAGATTGTGACATTTTTCATAAACATTGACGGAGTAGATTACAGTCTATCCCTAAGGTAACGTTAGCGGATGGTTAACGGCTGTTTGCTAAAACTCCCTAATGAATAATTGGAATACGTACGTATATTTCGTACAGAGTTAGATCATGTTATTTTTAAATATTATTTTCGTGGTATACTAATGTCAAGAAGCATCGTATAAACAATACCCCCCTAGTCACTGCTTTTTAAAAATATATTGAGATATAAAAAATATAGTAATTTTTTTTTGGAGCATCTTCAATATATCCTATTAATATTATTATGTAAAACCTAATGCTTGTCGTAATTAAAAAATACACCAGTCCTTTACGTTGGCTTGACATATAGTGCTAAAGTTAAGCCTCAGTCCCCTTCATTTCTAAATTCCATTATTTTTAAAACAAAGACGCATTTTAATAAAATATTTTGGTGCCAATACTATTTCTATTCCTACGAAAAAAAAAGTAAGACATGTCGGGATTTATAATATGGATCGACATCACTGCAATATATCCGTCGAGTGCACAAAATGCGATCATCTGCGAGTCAGTAGCAGAAGCTTTCGTCCAAATTACGGAAAATAGTTTTGAGAACGTTTTTAGTTTATCGCTGTTATTACGGGTTCGAATATAAGATATGTAACGGCTCCCGATCGCCGAGGAGGTCGTATTAAACTGCCGCCTTAAAAAGCGTGGCATTGGCATAAAAACAGTGACATTTTCTTAAAAATAGTGGCATTTTCATAAAAACAGTGGCATTTGCAAAAAAAAACAGTGGTATTTGCAAAAAAACAGTGGCATTTGTATAAAAAGAGTGTAATTTTTGTCAAAAGTGGGACATTTTCGTAATGTGGTGTTGCGCGTGCAAGCAAGTCAATAAGCGTGGCAAATACGCCTTAAGCGTGACGTCTGGCAACCCTACTTTGGAGCATATTTCATTTCATTATCAGATGACGGCCGAAATTTGCAGTGGGCTTTTCTACTATATTAGTTATCTTTTGTTACCTTATCTAGAAAGTTAGTATTGATTTTGATGATTCTTGTGTTGTGCCTTGAAGATTGAACAACGTCGGCATCGTCAGCAAGGAGCACTTTCCTTGGCTGACAAGGATTTTTACTATAGTTTTAGATTAGAGATTGTCACCGTTTGACCGTGGCAACTGGCAACACTATCGACACCACTATTTTTTGGAATTAAATAAACAAAATTTATAACTTGGTCCCATATACGAACATAAATATTCCCCATGTAAAATTAAAAATAACAATATTTTAAATTTATTAAATATGAAATATAGAAGGTAAACCTTTGTTCTAAAATAGCTATTTAATTAAATTTAAAATGTTTCTTCAGTTTTTCAGTATTGCAATGATGTCATCTTTAGTGTATTTTAATAATTAATAAAAGTCGAGTGTTTTCATTATTTTTTAATTTCAGAGATTAGATATTAAGAATTAAAACTTGTATAAATATTAGAAATTGTACTGCAGGAAAAATATTACGATTTCTTTAAGATTGATAAGTACTCAGTTTTATTAAAGAAAATGAAAGTCGCTATGATTTCTCTGGCTATTTGCCTACTAATAGGACTTAGCTATCAACAAACTCCTGGTGTAAGTACTTATTTATATTTTAAATACATGTAACATATAATTTAAAGTAAGTAATGATTTATAAATATCAATCACGAAAAGACAATATGTTCTATTAATTTATTTTGAACTAGCAAAAACTAGTATTTGAGAATTTTGATGTAATATAAAATTTCTAGAAACATTCTTACTTCACTTTAACTTTACTTTCACGCAATTTTACACCCTTTATTCTACTTGAAAAAAATTGCGTCAGATTTACAAACCCCCCTTTCCCCCCAAGTGATATTTAGAAATATTTAGCTCGATCCCCTCCCCCTTGAACACCTCACGTAATTAATGGATGCCCCCTTAGCTATGATTGTTTTGGAATCTATTTATGTTGATTTATTCATTTTGCCAACTTGCCAAAAAAAATTATTCTTAAATAAGTATATAGGGTGTTTAAAAATACATGTGTGACATCGCATGTGGTGTTATGCCTTCCCCAAATAAATAAATATACAGTGTCCCATTAGTGCGTAATTGGTCAATATTTCAATTTGTGTTATTGACACGCAAACAAGTTTCAAATAAAAGTTATAGAGATTTATAAGATACATATCATAAAAATATTTTTGGATATACAGGGTGTTGCGTTATGGCCTAGCAAATAAAAATGTATATTTTTTAAGTTGAACACCCTGTATTTTATTTCAGTGTTAGAATGGTTTAGTAATACTGTATTCAACCTCACATTTTTTTAAAATAGGTTTGCCAAGCAATTAATATTTTTTTAAAATAGAGAATAATGCTGACCCCAAATAAAATTATCATAATTTAGGTAGATTAACAATGATTTAAAAATTGTTCAAAATACGATTCATAGGATACAATGCTAACGAATAGTGGTGATAGAACTGGATTATTTTATACAGTGTGTTTTGAAACATGTCTTAAATATGGCTAATTTTAAGTTCAATTTAATCAATTTTTTCAAATGCAACACCCTGTATATTATTTTAGAATAAAATTCCTTATAAATTTACCTATCCAACGACACCAACATGTTAACCACACACAGATATTCAGGGTGTCCCATCAGTGCTTAATCGATCGATAACTGTTTTATTATTGAAAATACGAAAAAAAAAAAAAAATTAAAAGTTCTATGACTATATTTAACAATTATTCTTAAATATACAGGATGGTTCATAAACAAGGGGCGGAACAAACATTTTGTAACGTGTCTTTCATACCGTTATATTTCAAACACCTCTATAGTCCCATCTCTTTCCTTGCGATGACAATTCGATATCTGTCAATCGACCGAAAAGAATATCGCTGGAAGGAACATGCTTATCTATACACTAGCCAAGAAAGCAACCAATCAAATACTTTTTGGACCTGGCCCTTCTATTGGCCTGACAAAATCGGTAGTGACAGACCTAATTAAAGAACATTCCCTTGTGAAATACAAGGAAAGATGGGATGAAACAAGAAACTGCAGAGTTACCAGAGAGCTCTTAAGTTATCCTGACAACACTGCAGCAAACAAATACTTGACTATGACTAGACAGAATATGCGCCTAGTCATAGGCATTCTGACTGGTCATTGCCAAGTACGGAAGCATCTCCATAAGATGAGACCATAGAGCATATCCTTAACGATTGCTCGACGCTCTCATTTATTAGAAGATTTGTGTTCGGCGTGTATTGGCTAACACTGGCCGAAACAGGAGAAGCAAGTAGATTCATCTTGCAACAAAGTGAATGTTTTAAAATGTAGGCCTAAGGTTTACAATTTATTATTTGATGAGAGAAAAACATTTAAAATAGCCAAAAAATAAAATTATAAAAACATTTTTGAAATGAAACCGTTATTATGTAAAATTATAAATAAGATAATATATGTTAATTAAACTTTATACATACATAAATTATTGTGATTACATCATCTATTAAATAGACTCTACACAATGAAGATCGATTAAAAGTTTTTTCTCGAAATGTCTTGAACGGTATCTATTTAATATTTGAAAATTTGTTAATAATGTGTACTAAAAACCATGAGGTTGATACCTCCACGGCTTAAAACGGGCTGTGCGCATGACAGAAAGGAATCAAAACCGTCAATTTCAAGCGTTCTACGTCACATTTTCCACTGGCTACTATGAATTAATACCACTTCTAATTTGGATCATAGAGACGGTTGCAAGTTTTGAGACAAATTCCGACCTATCACGGGTCAAAAATCCAAAACACTCCCACATCGAAATCGACTGTGTAATCCACACAACCCCAGACGAAAAAGCTCTAGCCTCCAAAACTCCCGACAACCCTTACTTTGACGCTTAAACAAAACGTTCTTTAGATCCTTGCCACTTCAGTTTCACCTTTGGATGTCGAAAACCCCCTCACAATCCAATTCACCCTCCAAGACATCCAATATGCCTGCCAAGATGACAAAAACACGGCCTCATATATAGAAGAACGCTAAAGCATCGCCCTGAAACCATTATTCCCACCCTCGCCCTACTTCTAAACGCCTGCCTCTTTCTCTCCTACTCTTCACTTGCCTGGAAATCCGCCAACACCATTTGGATTCTTAAACCAGGCAAGGACCCCAAATCCTTAGATTCATACCATCCTATCTCCCTCATATCAGTCCTAGGTAAACTTCATGAACTTCTGCTCAAGGAGAGAATCTGGGACTTTTGTGAAGAAAGAAACATCATCTCTCAATCCAACATGGTTTCAGACCTCATCACTTCACACAGGACGCAATCTCCTCCCTTCACACTACTGCGGCTACTGCAGTAAACTTCCAACAAATGTCATCAACCGTTCTCCTAGATGTTCAAAAAGCCTTTGACCAAATCTGACATGCTAGATTAGTCTAAAAGCGCATGAACATAGGTTCCCCCCATCATCTCCAAACTCATTTACTCCTACCTCACTGACAGAAAAATCACGGTCAAAGTTGGTAAAGCCCTGTCAGACTCATTTACTCCCACTTACTGGGGTCCCACAGGGCTCCGTTCTGGCCCCTCTCCTATACCTCATATACACACATGACATCCCACCTCTAAACCACCCATTGTCAAAAAGCTTTCTATACGCCGACGATACTGCTCTGCTCTCTGTAGACAAAAAATCTGACCAACTAAGTACTCGAACCCAAAATCTGTTAAACCAGTATTCTGGCTGGTGTAGCAAATGGAGGGCCTCACTCAATCCAGAAAAGAAAGACAATTTATTATCTTTAAACATCTTAACTCACAAAGAACCTCTCAGAACAAGTCAATGTAAATCTCCTGGGAGTCCGACTCGCTCAACAGACGGAGGCAGAGGCTGTAGGAGGCGGACAAAATTGTTTTGTCCAGCTCTCCCATCAGTATTTTTTTGACAAGGATTTCACTCTCAGTAGGTATTTTACCGTAAGGGTTATCCTTGTATATTATAGCTACTTTCAGGTGGCTCGTAGCTCCATTCTTGTAGCATTTTTTTGTATCTAGATGCGTCGTGTTCCTGGCCTTTTGTGGAGGCAGAACTAGCGTCGCTACCTAAGGACTTGATTAAGCTGCTTTTGTTGTGTTTGCAGTAAGGGAGTTTGCTGAGGGTGGTGGTTTCCGTAGCACTGCCTGCCTGCAGCTTATCTCTCTTCCTCCTTTCTGCTTCAGACCCAAAGATTTTCTTGCCTTTCCGGGACTTGTTAGTTGGAGGTGAACTACTGTATCCATCCTCCTTTTTTGGAGGTGAGCGTCGCTGTCCAGTCTCCTGTGAAGGAGCTGAACTTTGTTATCTAGGCTCCATTGCAGGAGGTGAGCGCTCACGTCCATCCTCCTCTTTTGGAGGTGATCGTCGCTGTCCAGCCTTATGGGTGAGAGTTAGACTTTGTTGTCTTCTCCTTTGATGAAGGTGAGCATTCACGTCCAGCCATGTGGGTTTTTGTATTTCAGAATCCCTATGGTTTCCACGAGTAGCTAGGAAAGAAAAGGTCAACCGACGCAGAGCCCCGCTTGCTCTGGCAAGGTTAGATGCAAGAGGGCGTCGGCACGTTACCTTATACCTTAGATTACAGTAAAAACCATGGAAACATGTTTCAATTTAAAACTTTTATAAGGTCGATCAGATGTATTACAATTTTCATTTTAACTACAAATAAGTATTGAAGGGTGAGGTATAAATAAAATGTCTACCTCTTGAAGCGGTTCTACTTTCTTTAAATTAAATTACTGCAGTCCTTTCTTCTCTAGACTATAACCTATGAAAGGTTATTCCAGTTAATTTTTTACTCAAACGAGAATTGCTAGAGCAGGAACGAATGATACATTTAGGAATTACGTACTTTATAAAGTTTATAATACTTAAAAATCTTTCAAACACAAACACAAATAAAAATTAAATTTAATTAAAAAAATGAAATTATAAAATCGACCAATTACACTAATCCCACTTCTCTTCTTACACATTTAGTATCCCCAGGTTGCCATATCAATGGGCGAATAATAGCGGCTAGAACAGGTGACCAACGTTTTTTGACGCCATCATGGTGTTATTTATTATTAATTTATAAATTCATATAGATCGGCTTTAGGTGAAGGGAAACACCATCATACTAGAGAGTGGTCAAGCAAAGTGCAACGTCTAGATGATTTATCATTTTATTATAAAATTATAAAAACAAAAATATTTCGTAAAACGAAGCTATCGGAAGATATGTTATAGTATTATTATTATTAGTATTTTTCTTGATTTGGCAGGAAGAGCGGCCCCTCAGAGCCCTCTTGCTTCGGCCATCACTGCCTGATCCTCTAGGTTAATGAAACCAAATGTTTCATACTCAAAGGTTTGCAAAAGTTGTTAAAAAGTGCTCAATCAAATGATACAATTTATATTAATGTTAACAGGGAACTGTTAAGAGACATTTAACTAAATTGTTTTCTTTTCTTTTAGGTAATCATCGATAGTAAAGTTCCAAATATAGAATATGAACTTAATGCTGTACAGTCCTACTACCAAGCCTCTATATTGTACCCAACTAATAGCGAAAAACAATTGCAAGCGTTCGCTCTTTTGTATAATGACACCCATCCAACACCCAAAGGATGGAAAGTGGCTCAAGGATGTTCTGGATTCTATAATCCTTCTGAACAATATTTCGTTTTAATGAATGTTACCACCAGTAACTCTACTTCTAAAGTTGTAAGAGTGTTCAATTAAAATCAGTGAAATTATAACATTATTTAAAAATTGATGTTTTATTAGTTTATTTAATTGGGTAGTTTAGATATTAAGATGACTTGAATCTTATATTCTTGTCCTCATCTACATAGACCTTCTCAAATCCATTGTATTGCATTGTATCAGACTAACGGTAACATTTTCTGTAAATTAAAATGTAGGTAATTAAGACGGAAAATATTTATTTAAGGTTAACACCAAATCTGCAATTTAAAATAATGTTTAAAAATCTGTTTAACTTTCTATTAATATTTTAATAGAAGTAACTATTTTGCATGGATTCTTTTCAAACCGTAGGTAGTGCGCTAGTTCAGTGATGATGTAATTATGGTTCCACTGACAATTAAAGTGACAGTAGATTTTTTGAGTGCGTTTTGTTCGTTTTGTTTACCTAAATTATACCGTTTTTTCACTTTTATAAATATATTCCTAAAGTAAGTATCAAATATACAATCGTTTAGTTACCAATTACATACCTTTAAACTATTTTTTATGACCTGTAAACAATATTTTGAAATAAAATAAAAACAGTAAAAACGTATATGCCAAATTTATTGATGTTTTTGTTAAAAGTTTGGTTAGAATTAAATGTCAGTGGAACCAAAATGATATCACACTGAACTAGCGCATTAATGGCAAAAAAGGTTATTGACCTAATTTTTGGGTAATGTGAGGTAGGTGAGTATTTCGATTTATTTTGATATTTAGGAGGGTGGGCAACGTATCCTATAGGATACATCAGAAGTATGCTATTATAAATACATTTGTGCAATACTTATCTGTATTCTGAGTAGTATACATACATTTAGAAATATGTTGTTTCATGCATTTGTAAATAGGCTTGCTGTTAGTTCATTTTAATTTGAGTTACAAAATGATAACTTGCATTACTTAAAATGTTGAGATATAGCAGACTTGTAGTAAGTATTTGTTATTTTATTTAAATTATTGAGATACTTAATATAAATGAAAATATAAGATGTGTTTCCAAATAATAATAAGTCCTATTTATACATATAAAAATTATTTTTGTAAAATTACCTTAGCCACAAAGGACAGAAGGTAAAAGTTTCTTATAGGATATATTGCCAAGTTTCTAAGCATACCTTGTTTTGTTTTATTTCTATAAATGTGTAGTGAATTATTTTGCATAAAGACAATAAATTGTCACATAAAATAAAAATAATAGTATTAATATAAGGGGGTAGGTGGCTCAGTGGTAGAGTCTCTGCCTGTGGATCCAAGGGTCCCAGGTTCGAATCCCACGGTTGGCCGGAATTTTTTCATTTAATTTAATTATTTAAAATTAATTCTGATGCCTTGGTAGGATTCCCCACTCGACCATTCACTGTTGGGTTCTAATTAACAGTACTGTTCCTAAAGTGGCGCTGGGAAACAGTAACAAAGCCTACACAGAACACGAGGCGAAATAACCTTAGTAGTTAAAGCCGATGACACACACAAAAAAAAATAGTATTAATAAATTTCTTTATGGAATTGTCGTGCCCGGGCAGCAAACAGTATAGGCCACCGAAAGCTTTCCAATATGCTTTGCACAAGTCCATGTGAAAACTATAGAGTGTTAGCATTAGGGCATGCAGGAAACGAATATTATCAGCGTTACCAGTTTAAACGTGACAGCAGAACAACAACTTCTTCAACAAAAATCCGTTTCGACAATGTGGGGTATTTTGCAATTTATATCAAAAAAGGAAGATGCCGTTTATGTCAAAATGGTTTAACTGCACTTTTTTAATGCAATCTCAGACTTTGGTGAATTCAAAGAACTGCTTCCTAACATTCCATAATAAACGAAACTTAAATAGATATAGAAATTAAATATTTAAGTAAAATTCAAATTTGTTATATACTTGCCAACGTATCCCATAAGATACATATTAGGGTTTTTTTTAAATATCATGTAAACATTTTTTGAAGTTGAAGATTTTTTGTAATGATTATTTCTGTTACTGCCAACTTATGGGTTAAAGTAAGAAGTCACGACATATTTAGTCCTTTATTAATAGCTGAATGAGAAAGTTCAGAGTTTGAATTTGGTATTATTATTAGTTTTCTTTTGATAAGAATAGATTAGACTAGATTTGAAGGGAGTTGGACATTATTTGTCCTTGTCCTCCGTTATCTTTTCAGACATATTGTGTGATTCCCATAAAACCTTAATTTAGCCAGGCCTTCACACTGACACAGAAAGTAAATTGATATTTCCCCTTCTTCAAAGAATCTGCACAATGTTGCTTCTGCTGAATTAATGATACTCATGTGCCTTCTTAGGCGACAGTGTCCTGGAAGAAGATCTACTGTTATCCTAACGATTTGTAGAAGGCCTTTCGTAACTTAATTCCCTAATAAACTCTTTGACTTGTCTCAATCCTTGATAGTTATTCCACTATTCACGGGGTCTACGATGACCTTATATGATGACCTCTTTGGGCTAGTTTTCTGCCTGTTTATGATCCTGATATCTTTCGTGGCCTGGTACCCAAATTACGATAACTTTACTTTTACTACTTTACTCTGTTAGGTTTTCTAGGCAGTATTTCACCATTTGTGATTTGTTTTTTGATGAAAGAATTGCCTTAAGATTAGATGGTAATAGTTTTACCTAATACAAGGTGGCGCAAAATAAAGTCCCCTATTTGTTTTTTATATAAAAGTAAGAGTAATTAAAAAACAGTAATATTATAAATGAAAAATATTTATTTAAACTCTAAAAATTTGTTTTGTTACACACTAAAAACAATATCGACCAAATGACCACCCCAGCATTAATGCAATAATGAGCTCTTTTTAAAGCATTTTTCATAAGTTCCTCCAACATTTCAGGTGGTATTCTGTCAATTTCTTCCCGGATGTTATGTTTTAATGCTTCTAGTGTTAGAGGATTATTTACAAATACCCTATCTTTAAGATTACCCCATAACCAAAAGTCTGGAACAGTTAAATCGGGAGACCTTGGCGGATATGCAATATCGGCGTTTTTCGAGATAAGGCGTCCAGGTAAAATTCTGTTCAAAATGGCTATTGTCTCACGGGCCGTGTGTGCTGTGGCACCATCTTGTTAATACCAAATCTCTTCCTGATTAAGCTCTTCCATTTCCGGAATTAAAAAATCCAACAGCATGCTTCTGTAGCGATCTCCATTTACTGTAGTGGTTCTTCCATGATCGTCCTCAAAAAATAAGGCCTCAAAATTTTTCTACCACTAACGTCACAGCACACGGTCACTTTTGGCTCATGTAACGGTTGCTGGTAAATAATTTGTGGATTCTCACTACCCCAGAAGCGATGGTTCTGCTTATTCACAGCTCCATTCAAACAAAAATGAGCTTTGTCGCTCATTATGATTTTGTTCCAAAAATCCTCAATTTTGATTGTAAGGTCTACGATAGTGTGACGAAGTCACTAAATTTTATTTTTAAATAATTTAAAAAATGTATATTTCAATTAATTCCCGTCTGAGGACATTTGAAAGATCCCCCGTATTTCTGATTCCCAGGAATTACCGTTTTTCAACAATTGCGAGTACCCACGTAGGTTAAAACATTCCAATATTTGCTGAAATCCGAATGGGCATTTTGGAGAGTCGATTTCGTATCAATTATCTACTTTTATTTGTCAAGGTACTAGAAGGACATTTTTTTTAATTTTAAATTGTAAACAGTCGGCTGTAGTGGTGGTATCTCCCACTATGGCTTACCGGTCTTTAAGCTTGCCCAGCGAAAAGCATAAATTCGATAACAACTGAGAATTACCCTTTTTTTTATTTCCGGCAACCGTAAGCTCTTCTCTCTCCTCCAGTGACGAGTGAAGTACTCTGTGAGTGACCGTGATATTGATAGAATACTGAACAACCTCGTTTATTTTTCTAAGGTAGGAAACAGCAAATTATTTTTTTTCTTTACAATTAGTTGGGACACTCGAACAACAAGTAAAACATTTTTTGATTCATACCCAGGATATTTCATTTCATCCCTTAGTGGGAAACCGTTGGCAATTTTTTATTTGAGGCTGGATATAGGCCAGACTCTGAGTGCTCTCAATTTCGACGACTATATCCAATCTCTCTTAGGAAGCGCCCAGTTAACATTGAAGTGAGAGGTTCAACCCGTTTTCAATTTTTTTTATTTATTACTTTTGGGGAAAACCGGCCCGTTATTTTCTTTTTCGGAGATTCGATCCGTCCCCGGGTTAAGAGTGTTCTCTGTCCCGACGGCGTTATCTAATTTCCCAAAAAGATGTCTAAATTAATTTTCGCACCTCACTTCATGTAAGTTTCTTTTTCTTTTATTTATTCATTCAATTATATTTGAATCATTCCGTTTCCCGTCAACAACTAATTATTGAACGAAGCCCGACGTTTTCTGTAAAATTAATTCATACACCGTTTTGATCGGCTTTGGCAAATCTCAAAATAATCTTTTCTATAACCATCGCCTTCGTTGTCCAAACACCGCGTAAATCATATCATTCTCGGTCGACGAAAATTGACAGCGTCAACCGCTCGGGACTGGGATACAGGGGGGTTCCAAAAACTTTGTTCCATTTTATAGTAGGTTTTTCCTTTTCTGAACTTACATTGTAGGTGGGTTAACTGTGGTCATAGTAAACTTCATTTTTCTTTTAAAGGGAATGTCGTAACTACCCGTTTTCTTTTATTTGTATGAACTTCTCAGTTGGTCAACCGTTTAGTTAAAAATTAATTACTCCGTTTTAATTAATTACCGTTTTTTTCGTTTGACCAGAATATTTAATTTAATTTTGTGTATTTGGGAAAGTATACCTTCCATATACCGTGTTGTACATAATTTCCGATTTAAATATTTTCCCGTACTAGTAAAAGGTAATACGAACTTTAATTTCATTTATTTTCCTACATTTTATTACCGTCATATTTAAATAATTTTTAAAAAAAAATTAATTTTCCCTATACAGGGAGTTTCATAATTCCCGGACCGATTAGCCTC